TTAAACATAAAATGGACACACGGGGAATATAATACGTAAAACACAATAAAATGTTCCTAAACAAAATATTATGCTTCTATGTTAGAATATCAGTCACTGAAACAATTTGTTTAAAACACGTACCATATGAGCATTGTTGGAGACTTCAGCAAAAAATAAAATTTGAGACTGTTTTCATTCTGACCATTTAATTTTATTTTGAGTAACTGTTGGTAGAGTTTTGTTTCAATTGTATTTGTTGAAAGCGTGTGTGCAGCAAAGCTCATTTATTGCTTTCATATTCTTTTATGCAAGCTTTTTGGAAGCATTCTTTTTTAAACTAAAACAATTTTGTTTTGTTTGTTTTTGCTGCAGATATATTCGTTTATATACTATAATGGTAAATTAAAAATATATTTGATTCAGTTTGTTATTGACATTTGAAGTGCATCAATGGAATCAACTATAAGGAAAATTATTTAAAAAAACCTGTTTATCCTACCTCATATCTGTTCACATATTTTCCTTTTGTCAGTTCATTTTTATTTATTTATCCATTTTACATTCTGCATTTATCAATATTTTATAAATAAATAACTAATTTTATCTGTTTGTTTATTTGTTTGCATTTTAATCTGCTTTTGTTATAATTAATTACTAATAGTTTTACATTCATTTTATTTTATAACATTTTTACTAACTTGAAGTTCAACTTTTGATTTGTTCTTATGTTTCTAGCCTAAGTTTTCTTTGCATTAATTTATTCTTATTACTACTTTACTTATCTTATATTTTAAATTATATTTTTATTATCTTTGATGTCTCTTTTTGTACATGTAGTAACATTAAACTGTGTAGCTTAAACACCTAAACTGACATTGTTTTGGCTCATGAGTATAGATGACCGTCTCATCAGTATTGTTAAGCTTCCAAGTTAATGCGATCTTATAATCATTCATCTTTAACAGCTTAGTTAACGGGCATTCATCATTGTGACACAAAAATGTCCGATGGTATTGTCTTTCTAAACTAAAACAAATGCTGTCCGAAAAACATACGTGCCCCAATAGAATACAGGAAGATTAAAGAGGTATTTATTTCATGACAAGAATATCTGACACGATCTTATTATACTGTTTTAACAAGAAAAAAAGATACAGTGCTAATTAACTTCTTCGTTCTCGTATTAATCAAGTATAAACTGTTTTTTTGTTTGTTTGTTGTTTTTTTAATGTAAAAACAATCGAGCGGCTGCGACATTTCAGTGATATTTTTTATAAAGTTTAACGATGTTTTTTTTTTCAAGGTGAAATTGAAAACGCTTTGCAAAACGAAAACGAGTTTGCAAAGTGAAAATGAAATGGTTTAACAAAGTAACAATGGGTCTGCAAAGGTTTACTGTTTTGCGATGTGATTAGGAGAGTTACGTTAACTAAATCTACTTTCATTTGGAGACTTACGATTTACCAATTAATACTTCATTTGTACTTTTGTTATTAGCGTTATTGAGTGACGATAACAAAATCCTCAGATTGAATTTTATCATTTCAATATTATGAACTAAAGGACTTTTAGACAGTGCGGAGTGTGTTATGGAATGAGTTTAACGATCATGGCAGGACTTTTGTGTTATTTTATAGTGCGAAAAGGGTTGTTATAAGAAAGAATAGACGCACTAAGTTTGTTGTTGTAACAATAACGGTATGAAAGAGAATATGATGTTGCAACCTGCATCCTGCATCTCACATGTCAGTTTGTCTTTTGTGTTTTTTTTTTTCTGTGTTGTGTTTGTGAAATATTCTGTAATCAATTTGTCTCATTGTTCAATAGTGTTTGTGTCACATTGTTTAGTAGTGTTTGTTTCACATTGTTTAATAGTGGTTGTAACTTAAAAGTGATGGGTTGCTAAGTGAATATTTTTTTAATTATATGTGGGTGATCAGTTTTCTAAACAGTTTTATAGTTTGTTTTCCACATGATGTAGAAATTCTTCAATTGTATTTAAGTATTACGTATATGTATTTTTTAATTATTCGTGTTGCTTTTCCTTACTTTGTAAACAGATATGACTCTGCCTTATTTTATCTTGCCCCGCGAAAAAACCAGACAATCAATGGGTAGGCTCTGGAGTGTGGTTAACTTATACCTGAACTCCAGTTAACGCCCTGTGGATGTATATTTATATGATTAAACTCTGACACATTTTTCAATAGAAAGGTCCACAAATTATGATACAAGAGTTCACTTATTTAATTAAGTTTTGACGTGAACGAAAAAAGAAAATTAAAAACAGATAAGATAAATGAAGAATATTATACATATATATACCACAAGCCACATACCTTTTTCTTATTACGCTGTCTTGCGTTATCTCTGTTTCCCCTATCAACAGTATTTCCTGGTTGCTTTGTTCCCCATATCTTGCACGAAATTCTCGTGTATGAAACATTTATTACCAAAAGTGGAAATAGATACTGTACAAGTAAAAGATAAAGATGGTAATACTTTCCAAAATTTTCAGTCGGCCAAGACGCATCACATGTCAGTACAAATTTCAATTCAGCATTAATCATGTAATGGACATAGTAGTAATATCCTTCAGGAAAACATGATCCCAAACCAAGCCCCCAAATGATCAATAAACACATAATGGCGGAGCTTTTTGAAAAACCAGCTTTTAACGGGTACATTACAGCAACGTATCTATCCACGGAAATAACAGTCAATGTTATAACACTAACACTTACTGATAACACTTTTACTGACGGTGCTAGTTTACATAGGAATTCGGGAAAATCCCATCTTTGGTGTAATGCTGGATGAAATTGAAAAGGTATGGTAAACATTCCAAGTATAACGTCTGCAAAGGCCAAGTTTGCTATAAAAATATTTGTCACTGTTTGCATGCGCTTATCTCTGGCTATAACAATAATCACCAAACCATTACCTAATATAGCAATAACTGATATGGAACCATACAGCAGAGCGAGCAGGGCAACTACAAATGTTGGAACTTCGTACATATCCACATCTGGAAATAAACTGGTGTTCAATGATTTATTGTGCAAATTTATCCTGGCAAGAATATCCAAAACGTTAAATGATCCATTTAGTAAATCCATATTTTCATAGACTGTGTCCCTTACCGTATGAAATAATTCTCTTAGCCGTTCCAATCTTCCAACCGTGTGGTAAGGTTAGAGATCCCTTTACATTATCGTTTACTTGTGATTCGTGTGAAAGCATACGGCTCTGTCGCTACAACTATTGGTAAAACTATTTTCCGATCAACAGCAGGACAGCAGGTGCCATCCTATAAGGATGAAATATAAATATTAGATATTGTATTGGAACATAGAGCATTTATTTTTATCTGACTGACAAATTGTACGTTTTGTCACTGTATATATAATACAATAGCGTAATAACAGTACCATTTCCTTAACGAATAAACAAACAAAGCAATTTTGACCCAAAAGCGATTATTATTCCACCCACTTTGCCTCATTATTTCTTACGAATTCCAGAACAGTTATGACATCGTGCATTAAAACATTCAATGCTTTCTTATACCGTCGGTCTGCCCTGTTATCGCAGTGTATATATTTTTAGTTAATATCATAATTTAATTTATTGTTATTATTTTAAGTATATCTATATTGCTGTGTTTTTCAACTGCATTTCAAAAGATTAATATTTTAGACCAGTAAATATTTTTTCCGGTAAAAAACAAATATCTGTAAGTAACGGTTTCATACATTTATGCAAGTATCTATTTAAGAAAATACCTTTTACAATCTTATTTAAATTGTTTAATATTATCTTTTAATTTTCTGGCGTAGTTGCATTTAAATTATTAATGACCTACTTTTGCAACCATTTGAAGTATTAGTTACAAAACTCTCACTTGTAATATTTGTATAATTGGTTACATGTAAGAATCAAAATATATGTAATTAAGGAACAGACTTTGTAAAACTTTATACAAAGGTCACTTAGGCCGCGTCTACACCTAGTAAACATTGAATGCAAGAATCATATTTTCATGTCTTGCATAATGTAGACACCCTAAAGTTTAATCATTAAAAATTAGAACACGTTCCTTTTTTCTACAAGTTTTTGGCGATCAAGAAACCGATAGCACCGGTTTGACACAAAACATGTGCCCTTAAGTTGCGATAATGTAGTTATTTTTACTGTGATCTGATTGTTTACTCATATCGTTGATGCAGTGCACATGACCTGTGTAAATTGATACAGTGAAGAATAAAAAAAAAACTACTTGTATTTCAAAGGTAGAATCAATATGAATTTTAAATGTGATTGAATAACTCGCATCAAATAAAAACTTTGTATAAATTAATAAGCTAAAAAATATGTTTTTTTCAAATTTTCCATTTATTTTAAAAGAATGTACAAATTTCATTTACGACATCGTTTTAAGCTAATTTTATCTTTTTCCCGATTTTTATACACATTTTATAGAAAGTTAACATGAATGTCTGGTATAAATTCTGGGTAATCATAATAAGACATTTCAGTAAAAATATATGCCTGGTTTTATGTTGAAATGGCAATTTCTTAAGCTTATCTCAATTAGGTATGTAATAAAACATGACTATGTGTAGACGCGGTCTTAGATTAATATGCCATAAAATTATATACAACAATATATCATATGTCAAAACAAGGCAAATTTTCAATATACTAGTATTCTTAATGTAAGTAAATAGAGTATGCATAATAAAAATTACGACTTGTTTTCCAATCTCAACCTTAGTCTAAAGTAAAAAATAGAACTCTTAGATGATTAAATTAGCAGTTTAGACTAAAGCCATATGAATAGATTGATGATTACCTAATGACTGCTATTATGTTATAGGATACATATCCCAGAAACTATTAATGTTTAAATGTTGAAATATGATAGTTCAAATCATTGCTCATCTTTTTAAAATTAAGGCTGCTTTCAGATATCTTCGCTAAAAAGTTATTTCCTCGAGGCTTAGAAAAAATGCATCAGTTTGAATATTTATTACCATCAGTTGGGTTGTCACTTTGATAGAATTAACTTCAATTTTGCTGATAGTTGAAAATATCTCTAAATTAAAGTCACTAGTGGGTTCTCTTTTAACAATTATATTTGAAACATGTAAATTAGTTTTAATGTAACAGTTGTAATACATGTAACTGGGGGAAAATGATTTCTTTGCAAAAAGTCTCGAATTCAAAATAAAACCGTAAACTAAAACTTTGTGCTCATGACGCATTAAATTTGACAACCCGTTGTCCCAGAAAAAAACAAACTTTAAAGTTAAATTATCGCGCATTTTTATTTCACGATTAGACCACATCTGTTATTTATAAATTCTACAAAATGTGTTTTTTTCGTAAAAACCGTAAAACAGAAATGGCGACATATAATTAATAAATTGGGTTTCATACTGACTCCAGCACTAATTTTGATATCCAGACAACCAAAATGAGTTTTATAAGTATAAAAAATCACAACCTCATTGTTGCTTAATCGGAAGTACAATTTATGTTTGCACGAAAAACTCCGCCGTCGGATCATCAATATTAAATCAACAAACATGGCCTAATTTTACAGTATATTTCAGCATTTTAACGGATGTTTCATACAAATGTAATATTGTTTATGAGATGATTACTTTTTTCCGAACGTCAGGCCTAATGCACCGTGAAGCTAAAACTTTTAAAGTATGTTTGCACAAGAAAACCTCATATTTGCTGTGTTCAGGATAGCAACTATAACACTGTGAGGTAACGGATACACGAGCTGATTATAGTCTTCATTTGCATGTTAAAATTACCAAGGGTTTTCCGTTTAAAACCGTAATCAAATGATATTTACAACATTATTGTTGAAAAGGTTAATGAAACTGTAGAATGCTTGGTTTTCTAGGCCGACGGCAAACTATTTTTTTCATGTGTATTTAATGCAGATGTAGCGTTGTGTCCATTTAAAAAACGAGTATATACAAAGGAGGTCAACGACTAAGTTAGTTACAATGAAGATGCTTATAACCAACAATTCAATGCCTTAACCAGCCTGAGCTGCTCCCATGCGGGTCCTTTGGAGCCGTTTAAATCGTGTAGTTTCTCCTATATAGCCTCTTACTATCACATAGATACGATAAAACTACTATCTTTAAACAAGTTACCCTCATTCGCCCCTAAACCCTGCATCGACTTCATTATCGGTAAATCGTCACTAATTATAACAAACGCATGGTATTACAATTATCATGGGAATAGCCGTGTGTCAAAACATCTTGTTTTCTAAAGATAAAACAACGAAGACCTTGAATAAAGGAATGTCTCAATAGTAACATCCCTTGAATTCCCGTTTCAAATGTAATTATGTAATTGTCTTATCTGTTTTGTCAAAATAAAACCATGATGTTTATGTCTTCTTTTAGTTAAAAGTCATTATATTTATATCGCAACTTTATAACTCGGCGCAGATACTTCTGGGCTGTATTGGTGTTAGTCTTAACAGAACAATGAAGGGAAGATATAGACAAGGTTTTAAAACAGAGAAAGGACAATCAACGTTCGTTTACATACGTTCGTTAGATAAATTCAAAGGCCAAAAAGATGAAAGTATTACTTTTATACTCAGCTCTTAAAGTCTGATATCATTGTGATGGAAAAGAAAAAAACAGAATCACTCAAAAACGAACAAAACTGCAAAATTAAAAAATATGGAAGGCTTGGTTTGATTAGGACTGTCCGTGGTACGGGTGAACTACTGACCACGTCCAATAGCACCAGCTAAATCAGAAAAGGTAAACTTTTGAATTTAGAAACATCAACGGAAGCGATCATGCGGCAGTTACCATGGAACCAAAGTCAAATTAAACAGCAATACATAATGTATAATGATTATAAATCAATATAAAGACGCTTTAAATTGTTTCTTTGTAATGGGATGGCGTCCAGATAAATTACTTTTCTATGTCTTTTATAAATAATTACATTCTACTTACTCGAATATAATTTATTAACCAAATTAAACAAAATTGGAACAAAGAAAAAGGGATTGTTACATGAATATCAGTAAATAAAAAAATCTGAGATATTATCACCTACCTTGGCTTGAGACTGTGGCAAAGTCTTTCTGAAATGAAGATTGATGGTATTGACATTTAATTATACAGGAAAAGATTGATGGATTATACCACCCCATATGCTTATGATTACGATATTAGATAAAAAAAAAATACTATCGGAGGCTAAACAGATACATATAAATGTTAAAATAGTAAAAGAAACATCCTTTAGCTTAATGTACTATTATAATGATGTCCCTTTAGCAAACAGAAATGTCATTTGCCAGAGGTTTCTAATTGTTACTGTAGACATCACAATTGAGCAAGGTATGTATGCTTTTATGAAGAAGAACAAAATGACAAAAGAAGAATATAAGTTACGCTTCCAATTAACAGTTATAATTATATAAGAAATTCAGCACGCCACCTGACAAATACATTGAATACATGTCGCTGGTGAAAACCATTTTGTTAATTTGAATCTCTAATGTCATTTCCGAATTAAGTTATTATTCAATATAAAGTTTTGAATTATATAGATACTTTTAAAATACAACTAATGCAGTTTTCCTGTCATTCTATTTATGAAGAAAAATCATGCAAGATCTAAAGTAAGTGCTCTTTTACTTTTAATGAAAAGTTTATATGCAATTGTACAAATAACGATGACCATCATAAAATGTTCACAAGATTATGAATACAGAACGGCTTGGACATTTTAATTTTGTATTTACATATTTTGGGCAGTGGTGTTTGTTAGAAAGTGTTTTTGTTAGTTGTTTGTTAGTATTGTTCTTCTTTAACTTTCATTTCGATTATATTAAAGCCTTCAAAAACTTTAAACACAAGTGACGTTGAAAACAATTAAAAATGTGAATCAATTTATTTCAAAAGAAGATTTGTTTTTGGTTTGTTGTTGCATTTTGTTGTTGTTGGATTTTTTATTTGTTTTATTCTTTTTGTTGTTTGTTAATTTGTTGTTGATTAGTTTAGTTTTTTGATTCCCCTGAAAGGCATATAAACATTTTAAACACACATTGAGTATTCATATTTGATTTTGCAATGACTTCTGACGGTTGGGTTATTAAAT